CGCGGCGCTGGCCGATGACTTCCGGGAGCACCTGGTGCCCGACCCCGGGTGCGAGTACGACCAGGTCATCGAGATCAACCTGAGCGAGGTGAGGCTCCGTGACGCTGCTCCCAAACCCAGCCCAGCCGACCCCTGCAGAGTGAGGAGCGGTTGAAGGTTTGCTCCTCGCTGAAAGGATAAGAAAGTAGGCGTGACGTTTCAGCTGTGGGGCCTTCTTCAGGTGTGTGACGTGTTTGTGCTGAACGAGGTTCCACGGCCAGCTCATCCCCTCTCTTTCCATTTCCTCTCGGTGTGGAGTAAACCATCGCCTGTTCCTTTGCGGCCTTCGTACGTCGACACGGTTACACGCTCGAAACCTCTTCAGAGTGAACCGTAAAAAACGCACGACTGCAGCACGCCAGTGGGGCAACTGTAGGGACGTGCGTTTAAAACTGAGAACAGGAGGCAGGTCTTTACGCCAAGGGAGGTGGGAGGGTGGAACAAGACAATGGAGCCGTGCTGTTGAAGCTGATACCCTGGCGCCTTTCAAGACATGGCTGGATGAGGTCCTCCCATCAGGACCTGAGGTGCTTCTTTACACCAAGGGTGGTGGGGGACTGTAACATGTTGGAAGATACGCCAGAGACATTTAGAACTGGGAACAGGAATCGCTTGTTTATGCAGTGTGTGGAATAGGTTGCCAAGAAACAGCTGGATGAGATCCTGGGCTCAGTTACGTACCAACTACCCGACAGACCTGCAGCTGTTGGGCTGAAAGGCTCCTCCCGTCTGTAACTGTGCTCATGTTCCCAGAGGACACCGTCAGCAGGCATCTGACACGAGTGTCTAAGCCTCTGACTTGCTCACAGTGGCAGACAATCGCTCTTCCTGCAGCAAACGAAGGGGTGACCGCCGGAGGGGTGCAGGGTAACGAGTCGTTAAAGATTCCTGGGGTTTCAGTCCGTGGGCCTCGTTATTCTTTGTGTCCGTTAACCCCAGGTGTGAAGTTCCCCCTCGGTCACCCACCTCCTGCTCTGTCTGTCTGTGTGTCTCCGTCTCTCAGCTGAAGCCCCACATTAACGGTCCCTTCACCCCTGACCTGGCGCACCCCGTGTCGGAGGTCGGCGCCGTGGCTGAGAAGAGTGGGTGGCCTCTGGAGGTCAAAGTAGGTCAGTGCTCGTACCCGGACGCTGGGCTCGGTGGGGGGCTGCCGTTTAACGAGGGGTATACCAACACGTTCCTTTCGCCTGCTGCTGGCAAGCTGTCGGGCTCCCAGGAGTCCCTGGTTTTTCCAGCAGCGAGCTGCGCTCCTGCTGTCTGCTGCTTCCTGCGCTGGGGGGGCCGAGGGGGGCGCTGACAGAGCTGTCAGGGGTGTCCGTTTGCCTGTGGAGGTGATTGTCGACACAAGCGCCCCCCCCCCCCTTTCGGGTTTTTTTTTGGGAGCGAGGGATGGACCTGAAAGGATCCAGTTCCCAGAGCGGTTTGACCCAGTGCGGGTTTTACCCGTGGTGTCGCAGAATAGAAACGAATTGAACGAGGAGGGGAGTAGAAATGCTCGATATGTACTCTGTGCGGCCCGCAGATGTACCTGAGAAACCTGCAGCTCGCCTACAAATAGGACCTGACTTCTAGAAGCCTGACCCTGGTAGGACCTGACCTGGATCGCACCACTCTGGGGTCTGGGGTTCTGATCCGGTTCCCTGAACTGCAGTGATGTTCCCCAGCTCCTGCCTGTGTCGCTTGCCCATTTTGCCGTACTTCTGCTGCTCGAGCCGGGCCAGGCTCATGAGCCCCCCTGTGTCGCCCTCAGGTCTGATCGGCAGCTGCACCAACTCCAGCTACGAGGACATGGGCCGGGCCGCCTCCCTGGCCAAGCAGGCGCTGGACCGCGGCATGAAGTGCAAGTCCGAGTTCACCATCACGCCCGGGTCCGAGCAGATCCGGGCCACCATCGAGAGAGACGGCTACGTGAGTCGCTCGCCGTGATGATGATGATGATGATGATGACGATGAGCTCGGGCTCACCGGAGACAGGCGGGGGAGGTTATACAGATCTGCTGTTCTCTGTAGACCCAGGAGCACTAAGGTACTAAGTGGTGGAAACTGAAGCTTTTGTCATGGAGATTCTTCATCAGAAGAGCAGCAGCCTTTCCTGAGCTCTGTACAGCCCAGCAGGACAGACGCACTGCTGGGGCTGCCCAGCTCTCACACAGTATAGGTGCTGGTGATACAGTATACGACCTGAAACACTTGAAGCCTTCCCTGCGCTCAGTGCACTCAGCAGTGAGGCACTGGGACAGCCCTGCAGGACAGACACACGGCTGGGGCTGCCCAGCTCTCAATTCCAACACGGGAACAGGTGATAACAAATCAGAGGTTCATTTCCCAATGAAGGGTTTTGTCCTCTTCTTCGAGGTTCCACTGAAGTTTGTCTCGCTCTGTAGTTGCTTTGCTCTGTTTATTTGAGGTTGGTTACTGTGTGGAGGGAAATTCCCAGCTGCAGCTGTTAACCCAGGTCAGCTTTGATTTCTCTTTGGTACAGGCAGTACAGGGATTAAGCAGTAAACATTAAGCAGCAGTATTGGAACCTAGATTATGCGCAAGACGTATATGCATCTGACTTCCCTTTACAGCTGTCAGAAAGAGGTGTTTTACAGTGGAGGAGGTTGTGGTGGCGATACCCATGCTTGCGGTGTCGCGTGATCAGTGAGCGGCGATGTCATGCTCACCGAGCTGCAGTGATGCCATCATTCCAAATGACGTCGTCGTCGTCCCCGGAGACGTGGCAGCAAAGCCACGACGTCGGCGGAGTCATGTGACGTGTGTGACCTCTGTCCCTCTGCCCTCAGGCCCAGATCCTGAGAGACGTGGGCGGTGTGGTTCTGGCCAACGCGTGCGGGCCCTGTATCGGACAGTGGGACAGGTAACTATGGAAAGGCTCACCCCCACGCCTGTGTCACGAGCTGTGTGAGGCCCTACTGTGTACACCTGGACTGTCATTATAGTTTTATTCAGGGTTCTCTGGTGTGCTGACATGAACTTTGACAGGGGGTTAAAGTCAACCCCACGACATACTGTTTTGGCCACTTTTATGCTCTTAGGAGGATCCCTCTCCCTGTGTACTTCCCACTGGAATTTGGGAAATTCATCCCCACACATAGTAGTAGTAATAAAAAAAAATCTTATTTTATATAGTGCCTTTAAAATCAAATTCCAAAGCATTTTGCAGAAAAGTAAAAAAGGGAGTTAAAACAATAGAAACAGCAGTAAGAATTGGAGATGAAACTAGCACAGAGAAACAGAAGGATTTAGAATGTAATTAGAAGATGCAAAGGTGCAGATAGATACCAGTCGGATAAAACTCTTCTAAAGATGAAGGTTTACGTTCTGGATTTGAAAGCGCTCAGGGAAGGTGACTCTCTGGTCTCCTCGGGGATAGAATTCCAGAAATCTGGGCCGTAGCAAGACGAGAACCTGTCGCCCATAGTCTGTAGACAAGCCTGGGGGACAGAGAGGAGAACAAAGTCGGACGAACGAAGGTCATGGGTTTTGGCAGCCGTCGTGAAACCGGATAGGAAGCCAGTGCAAGGAGTCCAGGACAGGAGTGATGTGATGACGGGGTCAGGGTTCTGGCTGAATGATCCCGGACATGCTGTGGTTTGTTCAGCCTGGATTGAGACACCCTAGCGAGTGGGGCGTTGCAGCAATCAATTCAAGAGGAGACAAATGCGTCACTCAGCGAGACGGGGGGTACCCCGATGTCCTCCCGATCTCTCTCTCTCTGTCCCTCTCCCCCCCCCAGGCAGGACGTGAAGAAGGGGGAGAAGAACACCATCGTGACGTCTTTCAACAGGAACTTCACGGCCAGGAACGACGCCAACCCGGCGACCCACGCCTTCGTCACCTCTCCCGAGGTACGGGGACCCCGCAGCGACACCCCGATGTCTCCCACACCCAGGGACTCCAGCGCTGCTCCTGCAGAGCCCCTGTCCAGTTAGTCTTTACAGGTCGCTCTAAACCAGGGGTCTCCAGCCCTGGTACTGGGGAGCCCCAGTCCAGTTAGTCTCTCACATCTCTTCCTAAGTTTGAGGAGCTCCTGCTTTCAGGCCCTAGTGAAGGTTTCTCTCTGGTGAAGGTTGTGTGATCTTTAGCCGGTGATTTAAACTGTTACCGATCATTAGAAATGCGCAGTTTAGTGGTGATCTATAAAATCTGCTAGTGACCCCCGTACTGTCCCTCTGTGCTTAGGGCACCCACAGGACTGGGGTACAGGTGCTAAGAACGCTGGTGCCCCCACAGTCTCCTGCCTTTGCCCCCAGCCCTGACACCCCCCACCGTGATCTCCTCTGCCTCCGTGTCACCCTGAACCAGCAGCCCCCCACACTCATGTGCGTTTGTGGGGTTCCCTCCCTCCCTCTCTCTCTCTCTCGGGGGGACAGATCGTGACGGCCATGGCCATCGCGGGCACGCTCAAGTTCGACCCCGAGCGGGACTTCCTGACGGCGCCCAGCGGGGAGAAGTTCAAGCTGCAGCCGCCCACCGGGGACGAGCTCCCGGCCCTGGACTTCGACCCCGGCCTGGACACCTACCAGCACCCCCCCGGGGACGGCAGCGGGGTCGCCGTGGACGTGAGCCCCCAGAGCCAGCGGCTGCAGCTGCTGGAGCCCTTCGACAGGTGGGACGGGCGCGACCTGGAGGACATGCAAGTGCTCATCAAGGTGAGGGGGCCGCCAGGGACACCGGGCCGGAAGGTAGTGGGGATTAGGGATCGGGTGGGCGGGGAGGGATGGGAAGTGGGATTTAGGGCATCAGGAGGGGGGGGACAGAGGGTGTCGGGGAGGGGTGCAGGATTGGGGATTTAGGATGTGGGGGAGGGTGATCGGGGATACCGGGCTGGAAGTGCTGTTCCGGGTCGGACAAAGGTGAAAGGTGGAGGGGAGGAGAGATGGGAAAGATGGGGATGGGCTGGGAAATGTCCGATTGGAATCGGAAGGGGGAAGGGTGAGACGGGATGCGGGCTGGAAGGATGTTGGGGTGAGGGCTTGGGGGGTTATGGTCCCGAGAAAAAGAGGGGAGGGGAGGTGGGCCCAGGAGGGGGTTAAAGATCCTGGGAGGTGGGGGGTACAGAAGAGGGGGTGATAATGTCAGAGCGACAGACCGGGGGGTGTACATGCATAAAGAGAAAGGGAGTTGGATGATTGCAAACGTCACTGTATCCCCAGCGTCTCTCTTCTCTCTCTCTCTCACCCCCACAGGTGAAGGGCAAGTGCACCACTGACCACATCTCCGCAGCCGGGCCCTGGCTCAAGTTCAGGGGTCACCTGGACAACATCTCCAACAACCTGCTGATCGGCGCCATCAACATCGAGAACGACAAGGCCAACAGCGTCCGCAACCAGCTGACCGGGGAGTACGGGGGGGTGCCCGACGTGGCCCGGCACTACAAGGTCAGTGTCTGTCCCTCTGTCCCCCGCCGGACATGGTCACACGCTGTCAGCGTGCGTCTCCGTGTCTCTGCCCTGTGCTCTTCCTCCCGTCTCTGTGTCTGCATCAGACCGTCAGAACGTGCAGCGGTACTGAACCCCGCCCTCTATCCGTCTCTCTCGCCCCCTCTAGAAAAACGGCCTGCGGTGGGTGGTGGTAGGCGACGAGAACTACGGTGAGGGTTCGAGCCGGGAGCACGCCGCCCTGGAGCCGCGGCACCTGGGGGGCCAAGCCATCATCACCAAGAGCTTCGCTCGCATCCACGGTACGAG